TATAGTTCTTAAAAACTATAGAAATAATAAATAAGAAATTATTTTAAGAAAAATATAGAAATAAAATGACTAAAAATTTAAAAATTTATCAGGCATGTGCTCTTAGGCCAATTTTATTAAGTTGTCTGTCTTTAAACATATCTTAAATTTGGCTTTTGCTTTTGTTCATTTTTTATATGAATGAAACATTTGGTACATCTGTGTGCGTGCGTGCGTACGTGTGTGTGTGTGTGTGTGTGTGTGTGTGTGTGTGTGTGTGTGAGATATCTGCCTGTAAGGGCGTGAGTGGTAAGTGGTGGTATGTGTATCCTTAGACAATTTCGGCAATGCCATTAAAATGTTTTAAGAATTTAAAAATACCGATTATATCATTTAGTTTGATATGTTCAATTCTAATTTGTTAGTGCCTAACTCTGATTAACAGTGTCAAAATAACTGAGCCAAACAGTGTGGTGCTAAATATATTTAGTAATAAAAGTGATCACTTGTCATCAAGTAGACATCAAAGTAACTGATTATATATACATGCATGCATGCATGCACAGGCAGATTAACTCCAGAGCAGTTATGTACCGCATTCAGATCTACCAGTAAAATAAGTTGAAGTAACTTGTTTGAATCAACTTGCTGTAGAAAAGTTTCAAAATAGGCATATTGTCAATGTGGCATGGCAATTAACAATTGTAAAGATTTGTAAAACAAATGAGGCAAATAATTATAATAAGGATTAGGAAAGTAGATAAAGGTGATCAGCTTTCAGCCAAAATGTTGATTAGATGCCTCCAGGATTCCTCCAGCTGTAAGTTTACAAATAACATTAAAATTGTCAGATGAATTATATATGTTTCTTCATTGCTGTATTATATTTACTCCCCCTCCCCTTGAGTGTAATTTCACAATCTGGCTTGTATTCTCATCTCAATTCTGAAACAGTGTTCTCAAAAGTTATCACCAACAAGTAAATGCTAAATCCAATGACTTTTTAAAATTGCTTTTCATCTTCTTCAACATTCTTCCAATATTGTCCATTATTGAGCAACCACTCCCAATGAATGACTGAATCATTCAACAGATCGTTGTAGAATACCTTCTATGTGACATCAGGCACTGTGCTAGGTGCTGCTCAAACCCCAGTGCCTTTGCCCATACTGGTTCCTATGCCTACCCCTGTTTTTTATTATTTTTATTTTTATTTTTTACAAACTTTTTTCTGGTTTTATTGAAATATAATAGACAACTAGTTGCTAATGTTTACATTGTACAATTCATTGATTTTTTTCAATTATAGTTAGCATACAATAACATATTAGTTTCAGTTGTACAGCATAGTGATTAGTGATCTCTATAACTCAAGAGGCGGTCACCCCACTAAATCTAATACCCCTTTTCCCTCTTACATATTTATTATAACATTGTTAACTGTTTTTCTTATGTGATACTTTATATCTCCATGTCTATTTTGTAACTATCCATTTGTACTTCTTAATCCCTTTGCCCTTCTTTGCCGTGCACCAACCCCCCACACACATTTGGTAGCCCTCAAAATACTGTCTGTATCTATGAGTTTATTTTCATTTTTGTTATTATTCTGTTCTTTAGATTGCACATGTATGTGAAATCATGTGATATATCTCTTTCTTTATGTGACTTATTCATTCAATGCAATATCCTCTATGTCCATCAAGGCATATCTTTTTCATCCTCTTTCTTTCAGTCTGTGTGTATCTTTTAATCTGAAGTGAGTCTCCTGTAGGCAGCATATGTAGGGGTCCTGTTTTCTTATCCATTCAGCCACTCTATCTTTTGGTTGGAGCACTTAATTTTTTTTCCATTTGAGGTACTAGTTGATAGGAATGTAGTTGTTACCATTCCTTATTCCTGTTTTTGATACATTTTTTCTTCTGAAGGAAGTCCCTCCAACATTTCCTGTAATATAGGCTTGGTGTTGATAAATTCCTTTAGCTTATTCTTGTCTGGGAAGCTCTTTATCTGTCCTTTGACTCTAAATGATAGCTTTGCTAGATAAAGTATTCTTGGTTGTAAATTCTGGGTTTTCATCACATTGACTATTTTGTGCCAAGCCCTTCTGTCCTGTATAGTTTCTTTTCAGAAATCAGCTGCCAGTCTTATGGATGCTCCCTTGTAGGTAACTGCTTTTCTTTTGCTGATTTTCAGATTCTCTCTTTGTCTTTAAGCTTTGACACTTTAATGATGATGTGTCTTAGCGTGGGCCTGCTTGGGTTCATCTTTTTTGGGGACTCTCTGAGCTTCCTGGGGTTGTATGTCTATTTCCTTCACCAGGTAAGGGACGTTTCCATCATTATTCAAATAGCTCTTCAACTTCTTGTTTTCCTTAAGGTAACCATATGACATGGATATTTTTACATTTAACTGTGTCCCATAGGCTCCTTAAGTTATTGTTATAGTATTGGCTTCTTTTTTTCTTGCCATTCTGATTGAGTGTCCTTGGCTTCTCCATTCTCTATATCGGTGGTTCGATACTCTATCCACTGTGTTTATTCCCTCTAATGTACTCTTCATCTCAGATAATGTGTTCTTCATTTCTGACTAGTTCCCTTTTATAATTTCCATTTCCATTTTTATGTTTTTTACCTCTTTGTTAAAGTTCTCACTGAATTCACCTATACTTCCCTTAAATTCATTGGGTATCTTTATAACCAGTGTTTTGAACTCTGCATCTGTTAGATACTTGACTCTATTATATCTAGATCTCTGTTCTGTTCTCTCATATGGTTTCTGCTTCTTTGTCTTCCCCTTTTGTTGCCTTTCTGTGCCTCTTTCTATGTACTAAGCAAAGCTCCTAAGTCTCCTGGTCTTATTAGTACAGCTTTGTGTAGTAGGTGTCCAGTGGCACAGTCCTGAGAGGGGTTTAGCTGCAGAAAAATTTAGCCTCAGCCTATGCCTCTCTGGGGCCACCTGTTAAGATTCAGCAAACAGTCCACAGATGCTGTGCTTATAGTTGCCTCAAGAAACCACACCAGAATCTGAAGCCAGCTGTCACCAGTGAGAGTCTTGGTGCTGCTCAGCAAGGGGCACCTGACTGGTAGAAGATACACTTGAATGTAACTTGTGGGGCCATGAGTTAGGGGAGGAGGAGTTTCAGGGACTCTTCTGGGCAGAGCAACCTCTGTTATCCAGTTTGATGACATCTCTGCTATGGTGGCACTGAGTCCGTGCACTGGGAAGGGAGGAGGACTTAAAGACAAACAATGGATACCACTGGCACTTCTTCCTGGGAGGCCAGCACTTCTACCCAGGAGAAAGCCTGGCCTCTTGCCCTTGCTCCAAAAACTCAGCATCCAAGCAGCCAACCTGGCACTGGTGCTCAGGGCGAGCAAGTCAGTCACCATGGAAGTCTGCTCACAGACACGACCCCTTTAAGAGGTGTCTGTAGCCGCTGGTCGCTGCTGCCTCTGCCGCAGCCTCTGTCCCACTCAGTGGCTCAGACTAGGCAGCCTCGCGTCTTCGGCCCCTCCTACCTCCTACCATTGCAGGTTGATTAATATTTCTTTACTTAGTTGTAGTGCTTTTGTTCATCTAAATCCCAGGTGACTTTCCTTGCTGTTTGCTCTGTGTTTCTGTTATTGTTTGCAAGAGGGATGAACAAAGCCTCTATCATCTACACCAATTTTTTTTTCTGTCTCCCCTACCCCTGGTTTTCTTATTATCAGTTTTCAAAATTCAGCTCAAGAGGAATGACTCCTGGAAAAGCTTTCATCATTGCCCCCTCCCCACCTATCCTCTTTCTCTCACATATGCACTCCTTCTTATACTTATATTATCTTTTTTCCTAGGTCTTCTTCACATTTGTGACCCAACTATTCTCATTTTTATGGTTAAAAAAAAAGGAGAACATCTGCCTAACTTTTTTTCATTAAATTTATTGGGGTGACATTGGTTAATAAAATTATCTATGTTTCAAGTGTACAATTCAATAATATGTCATATGTATATTCCATTCTGTGTTCACCACCCAAAGTCAAATCTTCTGTTACCATATATTTAATCCTTTTTACCCTTTACCTACTCCCCTGCCTCCTTTCCCTCTGGTAACCACTAAACTGTTATCCATTGTCTATGAGTTTTTGTCTGTTTCTCTTATTTGTGCTTTCAGTTTTTATATCCCACATATGAGTCAAAGCATATGGTTCTCAACTTCTCTTGTCTGACTTATTTCGTTTAGCATGATAATCTCAAGATCCATTCATGTTGTCACACGTGGCAGTATTTCATCTTTTTTTATAGCTGAGTGATATTCCGCTGTATATATGTATCATATCTTCTTTATCCAATCATCTATCGAAGGGCACTTTGGTTGTTTCCACATCTTGGCCACCATGAATAATGCTGCTATGAACACTGGGGTGCATATATCTTTATGGATAAATGTTTTAACATTTGGAGGGTAGATAACCAGCAGAGGGATTGCTGGGTAATATGGGAATTCTATCCTTAATCTGCCAAATTTTAAAAGAAAAAAATTATCTATGACTCAGTGAACATACTCTTTTATAAAAAGTAAACCTGGAAACAAAGTAAGGGAGTCACAGTGAATGTGAATTTTAAATATTTCTTGATTTACAAAAAACCTTATTAACATAACATGTAAGGATTATTGCCATTCCATAACATGAAACACACCTTATTTTTCTTCTTTAGAACAGTAAAAGTTTATTTATGAATATGTGAAAATTATGTGTAAAAAATCTGTCTGAGGAAAGTAATTTTTAAATGGTGCTAATCTCTTAAAGTTAATATATATTGTCTCAGTTAATGTTTTAAATTTTATTCTATTGTTTTTATAACAGTAGATTAAAATATTTTATGGAATGTACAACTGTACTATATGTTAGGAGCCATTGATTAAAATATTATTTTAAAACAAGTATCGAATCTGTTGAATACAGCAAGCAAAAAAAGTGAGTTATTATTTACAATATATTGCTTACTCTGCTTTTACAGCATTTATAAACACATACCTGTAAAAGGCTCTCCATCTTTGCATGCACAAACAATATTATCTGGACAAAGATCTGTTACATTCCCTCAACAGTCATCAAAGTCAGTCACAGGTGTACAATTGGCTGTAAATAACAACATTCGAACATCCCTCAACATCACAGAATGAATGTTTCAAACTCAGTTAATACACATGTGAAAAGTTAAAAAAAGACTATGTTAAAGAATCTTAAAATATGAAAATAAAAATAACTGTGGTACTTGAGAATGTTCAAATATCATATTTTCAAGTACTAGTCTCCCAAAATCAAGAGGAACCAAAAACATGATTTCATTTTATTATTTTTGCACCTGACGGTTTTCATGGCATGCCTTGAAAAACAGTCAACACACATCACTATAACCCAAAGGACACCTAACATTTGAAATAAAGTTCTTTTGGACTAAATGTGAGTATCGTTTCTGGCTAAAGGAAGACAAAACAATTTATCCAAAGATAGCATCACCATAATCCTGGTTTGCTAGGACAGTTCCAGTTTATGCCTGTTTTCTTGGATTAATTATTAACACTGCTCTCTTCATTCTCAAAGTGCCTGGTTGACACTTTACTAGTAGGGCACCAGGGATAGCAGGGACCTCAGCTCTAATCCTTAATGACTTTTTGATATTTTAAAGGCTACCCTGGAGAATCATTCTGCCAATGATATGGCTGCAGTATCCCTTCCAGGAATCTGGACTGAGCAAATGTTTTCCATAATCTGAAAATCCGTGAGTAGGAAATTTTATTAGGAGTCACAGGACCTATTATCGTGCACTGAAACTGTAATTTCAAGAAAGGGAGAACTATTTCGACCCTCTGCCAGCCTAAATACAAAGAAGAGATTCTATAGAGTGAGATTTTACATTGCCCGGGTCCCAGGTCTCTGAACATGTCTTTGGAGTTAGAGGTGGCGGGCAAGAAGGGAGAAGGTCTCTGATAAGATCAGACTTATAGAATCCAGAGGAAAACTGTGCTTTATAGAGCACATTCTAAGGTAAAATGCAACACACTGATTTTGCCATATAAACATATTTGAAAAAAAAAAAAAAAGAAAACTAAAGGATGACATCAGGAAACATAATGGCATTTTTACGTAAAAACAAAATACGGTACTTTAAAATGGTTTCACTCTAATCTTCGAATATGGAAACAACTTCAGTTGATTAAAATGGTCCACTGACCATCCAACTACTCAACATTGCAAAATCCCTCACCAGAATTAGTGAGTCCAATGGTACTGCTTGGGGAAATTTAAGTCACATCTGTTTTCCACAGGCAGTGTTTTGAAAAAGAATTATACTTATTGGCTTGGTAAAGATTTCTGGCTATGTTTTATAGATAGATATGATTTGAACATATTGCAGAGTGAAAATTTTCTGAAAAATAAAGTACAACCTTTATATTTTATAAGAAACAAAGTACTAAATATAAGTAGTCTAAAACAATCACTAACATAAACACAAGTAAAAAATTCAGTTAGTCGTCCATAGATTTTTTTTATATTTATCTCAGAGATCAGAAATAAGCATGTTAGCTTCAAGAGAAAACAATTATTTTTCTCTTCTAAAAATAAACACCTTTAAAAAAGTCAGATATATTCAGGTTTGTGAATTTTTAACAACAGAACCTTTGTTTGGAATACTGTCTTGTCCTTTAGGCTACCTACCACAGCCTTGATTCCTTCTCTAATTAATTCTTTACATATTAAGTCTATAGAAATAAAGCAATTTAAAATTGTCTTACGTTGTGCACAATGTACCATCATAAAACAGCAGGATATGAACAAAATTCGAGTTAGTATAAACATGTACTCCACCATCGTGAGAGTAAGGCAGAAACACAAGCAGTACCACCAACTGCACTTAAAAACTGCAATTATGAGAAGTGATCATCAAACAGAGATTGTGAGTGGTTTATATAGGAGATAAGTGGTTTATATAGGAGATATATAGGAGAATGGATTTTGAACTTTTTCCTTCCAGCCTATGTAAATTACTATTTAACTTTTTCGTTGTACACTTCTTGGTTCCCCATATCTACAGTTCTTATATATAGAACGTATATGACTTGTCTGTGAGTTGTATACTGCTTGTGTTTATTGACAGCTATCTGTTACTTACAAGAACTATTTATTCATCTTTGTATTAAGTTTCATAATGTTTTATTATTTACCATAAAAAGCACACCTTATGCTATGAATGCAATATTCAATCCTGTTCAAAATTAGAGATCTCTGACCTTATAGCCACAGGACTACTAAGCAATCTGAGGATACCATTAGGTATCACTGGTAAAGAGAAGAAAGAGTAAGAAAAAAAAAGGAAGTGGAAGAGAGCATAAAGAGAAACAGAAGTGAGGAGAGTTCCCAGAAAGAGAAAAGAGGAGATGGAGAAGGAAATGTCAAGCAATGCAACAGACACAGATGTAATCCAGCTGGTACACCAAGTTTTCATTAGGATTCTCCCTCATATTTCCTCATATTCATTCTCTCTCTCTCCCCCCTCCTCTTCCCCCTCTCTCTCTCTCTCTCTCTCTCTCTCATACTGATTAATTCCATTTTTTCTCTCTCTCTCTCTCTCTCTCTCTCTCATTTTTCTGTTCAAGTTCATGTTTGACAGGATGTCAGTTCATGTACTGCTAATATTACCTACCATACATATACATACATATTTCCATCTAGGTCAAAATCTACTAATAACATATTTTATTATGTTATTCCCCAATCTACTGATAACATATTTTATGTACTATTTCCTGCTTGGAATTTATCAATTTGTGTACCTTATTCTCCGGTCTTTCTTTTTGACAACCAATAAGTGGCAGTTACATGAGAGTTCCAGGTTGAATCTTCATGCCATCTGTTAAAGGAGATCATTTTTAACCTAACTGGCCCACCTTGACCCAGTATAATTTGTTTTCAATAATTCTATCTCATTTGGAAACAATCTCCTTGTTTTATAATACTTACAGGAGTAAAATATGTACTTAATGATATCAGTACAACATTATGAGAATATATATACTTGTTTTTTAAAAATGGATTTTTTAATTTCCATTACTGCGAAAACTAAGTCCTTATTTGAGTGTTTAGTAAGAAATAGATACAAAGGGTTATAAACCACAGAGGATAGATAGAGTCCAACTCTCTACATATCCTCTGCCTGAATCCCTCTACAAAATTACACTGGCTTTTGAGATGAATCTCAGTTTCTCTTGGTTCAGAATTATAGATTACTTTTGCCACTAAAGTGTTCTGCTTACACATTCTGGTGGCAGATAACTCAGATCCTCTGGAAGTAGCCAGCTCTGTCAGAAATATTCTTCTATTAAACTAAAATTTGCTCTCCTGAACCTTCCAGCCAATATGAAGCAAATTTACTCTGACCCACTTAGAAAGTCCTGCCACATGGTGAAACTTCAGAAGCACAGTAACAGACAAGCTGTGAGAAGGGAACATTTAAGCTAACATATCCGATTTACTATGGATGTAATTAATAGCTCCCTTCATTTCTATCCTTTCTAAGATATTAATGTTAGCTGTAAATTATCTACACGAGGCACACAAATATAACAAATTTCTCCCTCCCCAGCCCAAAAAACATCTACTATGTAGGCAAAAGTCTTTCTTCCCCCAACAGAGGCTGGAAGTGCCAGTTATTGCTCTCTCAGCCTATCTTGCTGTGTGGCCATGGTGCACAATTCTAAACAATGAGATGCATAGAGCAGTCTTTCGGGGCTTCTCACAAATACTTCCTCCCTGCCTCCCTTGTAGTCCCCTTTCTTCCTGTGTTGCATACAGTTGTATCAGTCATCTTGCAATCATGATTGGAGCCATCCTAACACACTGGAGGCTATGGAGTGGAAAGATGGAAAAAAAAAAAAAAAACAACTAGATCCTTGATGATCTCATTGAACTACTGAATCAAGCCTCGGGTAGCCTAACCTCAGACTTCTTGTTATACGAGATTTATTAACAAACCTCTACTATCTAAACTATGTTTAGTTGGGTGTTCTAGTACTTAGGGCCAAAAGTATTCTAACTGATATACCGCATTAATGAAAAGACAATAATATGGACCAAAGTGGCTTTTTAAGAATTTTAGGGATGTAAGGTAAATATTCTGTATTATAATACATTGGGAGTAATGGCTACAAAATTGTTAATCTGATGCATGAAACAGAATGTAATCCAAGAAGGCTATCAATGGATCCTAAATTTTGTAATAATTGTATAATGGGAAATTATACAGTGTGGCCTTCAATTAAAGTATAATAAGATGTGAATAGAGTATACTTAAATACTTCAATAAAAGTAGTATAATAACAAGCACTCACTATATGAATTGAGATATATAAGCTTGATCTAGATATGGTCAAATATACTATTTCAAAAGAACAGAAAATTCAACCCATTTCTGCCACTTGGTAATTGTATGACCTTGGGAAAGTTAACCTCACTGAACCTCAGTTATCTTTTTTGAAAAGAGGTAATGATAACAGTATCTTCCGCACAGCCTTGTTTTCAAGATTTTAAAAAGTAACACAGCACTTATTGTCACATAATAAGTGCTTGATAAGTGAGAGCTATTATTGTTATTATTTATAATTTTATGACAAAATGTAGTTCAAATAAAAATTCAGAAGAATAAAAAAGTGGTTATTTACATAGATAGGGCATGATATAACTTTAGCTTTCATCCTTGAATAAGTTGGAAAGAACATCAAAATCAGGCAAGAAAAATATGGATTTTAATGGGAGGAGGGGTGAATTTTAAAAGCAGGTAGAATTTAAGTTCAAAAACATATAAAACTAACTTTGGGAGAGTAGTGACTGAGAGTTGGCAAGATGGGGCTCTCAGGATGCTGATAATGTTTTGGCTCTTGATTGGGTACTAGTTATAGGGGCGTGCTTACTTTGTGAAAATTTATCTAACTGTGTACTTATGATTTATATATTTTTATAAATGTAATACTTCAATAAAAATTATGTTAAAAAGAGGAGTTAAATTGATTATAGAAAGAGTATAATCAATTTAACATAAATTAAAGTCAGATCCTTTACTTTCAGAAAGACATATTCGA